TGAATTTTTTTTTTCTTGAACTGAAAGTATCTAAAGCAGATAGAAGAAATGATGAAGTCAGAGAACTGAACAGAAGATTTCAAAGAGCAACTTGAGAAGACAAAGTAAAGTAGTATAAGGAAATGTGCGAAGACTTAGAGTTAGAAAACCAAAAGGGAAGAACATGCTCAGCATTTCTCAGTTTGAAAGAACTGAAGGAAAAAAATCAAGCCTCATGTTGCAATATTGAAGGCTTGGTGCACTTATTGGTGAAGATCAAAGACTGTACCTTAATGTAAACCAAAAAAAAAAACCTCACTGCCATGGAGTCGTATCTGACTCATAGCGACCCCTCCTTGGATTTCCATGGCGATAACACTATGGAAGTAGATTGCCCAATCTTCCTTCTGAGGAGTGGCTTGTGGGTTTGAACCGCCGGCCTTCTGGTTAGCAGTCAGATGCCATAGGTGTGAAGGATATTATTTTATTTGCATCCGCAATCAACGCCCATGGAACCAGCCATCAGGAAATCAAACGATGTATTGCACTGGGCAAATTTGCTGTAAAAAACCTCTTTAAAGTGTTGAAGAGCAAAGATGTCACTTTGAGGATGAAGGTGATCCTGACTCAAGCCATGGTACTTAAGTGCATGTGAAAGCTGGGCAGTGAATGAGGAATACTGGAGAAGAATTGATACCTTTGAATATGGTGTTGGTGAAGCATACTGAATATACTATGGACTGCTGTAAGAAAGAACAAACCTGTCTTGGAAGAAGTACAGCCAGCATGCTTCTTATAAACTTGGATAGTTAGGCTTTGTCTTATGTACTTTGGGCAGGGTAGGGACCAGTCCCTAGAGAAGGCTTCAAAAAGACATTACGCTTGGGAAAGTAGAGAGTCAGTGAAAAACAGGAAGACTTTCAATGAGATGGGTACATACTGTGGCTGCAACAGTGGGCTCAAACAGCAGTGATTGCAAGGATGGTGCAGAACCAGGCAGTGTTTCCTTGTGTCTTGCATAGGGTCACTTGGAAGAGACTCAAGGGCTCCTAACAACAATTGTTACACAAGTCTTAGAAGCAAGAAGTATCGATTATTCTTTCATATGCATTTCATAAAACTTACTCAACCTCGCATATGACCTCTCTAAATGTTACGAACAAAATATTTCATCTCTAGTTTAAGAGAAAAGAGATAAATCTTATTTGTGAGAAATTGTAAATACGCACTTTTAAAATTATGTTATGAAGCTAAATTAAGAGTGTTACTAGGAGGAATTGCTACCATTGTCGTTTTTAAAATTTAACTCAGTTGTGTTATTAGTGTTATTGCTAATAGTTATTGTGTTATTAGCATGAGAGTTTGGCGAGTCACATTTGACATTTTGTTTTACTTATGTTCTTAATTACATTTCTAGCTATCTTTGTGTTTTCTAGAAGAATGTTTTTTGCTGTGGAGATTGAGACTGTGGATCTCTTTTGTGTCAAATAGTTTGTCTCCTCCCCACCCCATTACACTTGCAAAAGGTTGTCAATTTTCTAGAACTACTCAGCATGGATGATTATATCTTATCTTGTAAATATCCCTTTTCCTTTCATTGTTTCCTTATCTGCCTTTCCCATAAAACTTCAAACTAAAACTCTTAACTACCACAGATTCCTAACTTTAAATGTAATTGCGTTCTGTCTGTATTTTCAGCTTTTTGATAAATTTATCATTGTAGTAGCTTTTGACATTGAAAATACTAAATCAGAAGTTTATTTGGTGAAATATGTTTAAAAGAATTGTATCCTTTATAATTTTTCACATTTTTTTTTCCTTTTTCTCTTGAAAATTGTCTTGAGTAGTTGATTATTCTTAAATAGGTAACTACTTCCCTCTGGCTGTTAAATGGCTTCCTTTCCTACCATACTGTTTGAGCTTCACTGCTCTAACTTAAAATTCATTTTCTATCTGTGGAGATAGATAGCTTTGGGATCATTTTAAGGGTTGCCCTTAAAGTCCACAGTACAATTTCAATTTGTGCCTGGTGGCCAGGGACGTTAGTGAGCACTTGTGCATAGGATCTGAGCAAAATCCCGAAGTGGCTAAAATCATTTGAATATTCCCTGGGCCTTCATCAGTTTTAACTTTTTTTTTTTTTTTTATTAGGATTTGGGTGAAGATTTACAGAGTAAATTCACTTTTCATACAGCAGTTCACATATACTTTGTCTCATGTCGGCCTTCATCAGTTTTGCTTTGCAGCTTTTGCATATCCTGAATCACTGCCTTTTTATTGCGAATAATCTCCTGTTCTGCTCTGTCTTCTCTTGCATTTAGTTCTGTTGTTTTTCTGTTCTCCTCCTGTTGACTTTTGCAGAAATTTGTGGCTGTAGTGAGCGATGTCTGCTTAGAGTGAAACAGGACAACAGTGGAACCAAATGTGGGTGTAGGAGAGTCACGGAATTTTCCTGAAGGGCGCTTTTCATGACGGATGGGTTCATAGGCCTCTAGAACTCCGAACTGGTAGAGAAACCCTTAGATCACGTAGAACTCGTCCACTCCTGTCATTGTGCAGACGAGGAAAGTGAGGCCAGAACTGGGGAAGTGGTTGCCCAAAGACATGGTTCTGATAATCCTATTATGACTAATAATCATGTCAGGAAAGAATCACTTAATGCTACTTGTAAGGATCAGAAGTTTTCTCTGTCTTTGATAAAGCGAGGAAAGAGACTAAAAGATGCCATTAGATTAGCGAAAGAAGAACTTGTATAGTCACTTTTTATTTTAAGTGTCTGAGGTATAGCTGCTGCGAATCTGGTATGTGTTTGCTTTTAACTCTGGCATGGGCTCCATGGTGACATCACGCCTTTTATTTGAAATCTTGCTGGAGTCAGAGCACATGGAAAGTACCTTCCCTGATACCGTCCCCCACCCCTACATGTTAAAAACATGCACACACATGCTATTACTCATGTCTTTACCTTTCCCTGACGCCAGCCCTTATTGCTACATGTTACTTACATGTAACACATGCCTTTGCTTAGAGAAGAAAGACTAAGGATCATTAGCAAATTTTTTAGTTTAATACTCTGCACCAATGGAGCTTTGGGACAGTTCATATGAACAGTGCCTTTCTGAGTGCTGAGTATTTTATGTGTGTTAATTTATTGCACAACAATGCTAGGAAATGAATACTCTTGCTGTCCTTTTTATAGGTGGGAAAACTAAGCCACTGAGAGGGGTAGTTACTTTAGTTACAAGGCCATTCATTCAGCTGGTAAGGGCTGCCATGAGGAGTCCCTACTCACCATTACACTCTACACCGTGGTCATGCACATAGCAGGTATCATGCTGGATGAGGTGGAAGGCACGTCGGGGCAATGTGAGCCCCTGAAATCATGGAATTCAGTACATGGCAGTGGGAGAGGTCCAGATTTGGGCTTTAGTGCCCTGTGTGTTTAGTTCCCTTCCGGGAGTGACGTGTTAGACCCCAATGTTGGTCTGCTTGTCACAGCACCCTCTTGTTCCTCTCCCCTCTCTCCCTCCCTCAGCTGTGCTGGGCCATGTGATGAGGGAATTAGAGCAGAGGGTACCTCAGGTTTTTACTTAATCCATGTTTTCAGCCTGATACCTCCTCTTCCTTGTGGTCCATTGTGTCTCGACTTCCTGTTCTAGAGGTGTGGGGGGTCTGCTGTCATGGGGTGGGAGTATAGTGAATGACGTCTGAGTACTCTTCTGTGATGTTAGCCAGTCCCGTTTTTAGCCCTGTGTGTTGTCTATAACCTCCGAGATACTTGATGCCTCTACTCCTGAGCTTTTCTAGGGTTCTGGGTTTACTAGCTTGCCTTCAGTAGATGCCCACTCCCACCTCCATCAGCATTGAGGCTCCTCTGTCCTGTGCCTGTTCCTGCCTTCCAGCAGATGCCCACCCCCACCCCATCAATATTGAGGCTCCCCTGTCCCATCCCTGGTCCTGCCCTCTAGCAGATACCCACCCCCATCATCACTGAGGTACCCCCTTCCCGCCCTGAGTCCTGCCCTCCAGCAGATGCCCTTCTGCTGGCACATTCCTCTGCCTACTTTCTGTCTTCAGGTTTCAGCAAAGATAGAGGAGTTGTTTCTTTTTCCCATTGCCATTTGGGGGTGAATCTTGCTAGGAGAAGGAATCATCTTAAAACCAGAAGTCCTGTTCTTCAGCTTTGTTGAACCTCTGGTGGGGGTTTCTCCTTATCTAGCACCTACTAGATTCCTGAATTCACTAATGAGATTGGAGACCCTTTAGGAAGCTCTTGTAATGAGTAAGAAGATGCAGTGGCAGCCATCGAAGAGAAGGGCTAGGTGTGAGATGGTGGGCTCCCTGGCAAGTGAGCGACTGCTTGAATGTGTGTGTGGGGGCGGATGGGAGGTAGGAGGACCTGGAGGAGGTTCTCAGCTTGTCTTGGAGTAGTTGATGCTCTCCTGTCCTTATATTCTAGAGTAGTTATTATAAAATTTGCTTCTGACATAAAGGTTGACAATTGACCGGCATTCAAACCCACTGGCCACTCCTCAGAAGGAAGATTGGGCAATCTACTTCTGTAGAGATACTGCCTTAGAAACCCAAGGAATGGTTGCTGTAAGTCGGAACCACCTTGATGGCAGTGAGAGGGGATGACCCTCTGACTGCTTTTATTGGCAGTCTCCAGTCTTGGAACTTGGTCGAGTCATCTGAAGAGCCTCATTAACAAGGCCACTCGCTAAGATGCCAGTATAGTTGAGGCTTTAATAGAGGTTACGATTCACATGGCCTCAGAGCCATGTGCCAAATGGAGTGATGTGAAATGTCTCACATAAAGGAAGAACCTCTGAAGTAAAGTGGAGAGGTAGAACCAAGCATCTTAGATAGATGGCCATGTTTTATCACGTTGTCATCATGTTGTGTGAAAAAGTTAAAAATTGTACTGTCTTAGGACCTAGCTTTTAAGCAGCTGCATGTTGTGATGTGGGAAAACGTCAGCGTGGCAAATGTGTGAACTGTCTCATTTGGTGTGATTTCAGCGAGGAGGACATGTACCGTGCTGCGGATGAAATAGAAAAGGAGAAAGAACTACTTGTACATGAAAGAGGGTCATCAGGTAGGTCTGGAATTGTTTTATTTATAGAATTCTTACTGTGGATGTTACATTGGAATGTCCATTTCCATAAAATGTTATTAGGTGCACTTCCTGGGGAACGGTTCCATGCATATGGTCTCACCTACATCCGATGACTCATTTTGCCCAAGTCTGTTGGGAAGAGTGTTCTGTGAGGTTATGAAGCTGTAATGCAAGTATTCTTTACACTTCTAGCTGTTTTGCACCTGTGAGAAGTGCTTTGTTTAATCTCTTGACATCACCCTCTCTCAGGTCTTGATTTCCTTATATTCTTCGAGGGAGAGATGGTATTGGACGTGCATTATTCATTTCATATTGAAGGGCTTGTGGAAGCTGGCTCACGTGTCTGTGTGTGCACATGGCCGTGTGAATCTGATTGATAAGAAAGAATGATCCTGGAGCCTGCTGGTGATAGCACTTCTTCTCCCCTTGTTTCTGATTCGAGGTTCGGGTTTTCCTCTGCCATGCCTTCTCTTCGTACCCCCACCAGGCCGTGTTGCAGCTAGGGTGAGTGTCGCTCTGGGCCACCTCCTTGGAGGTTCAGCCACAGGGCTGCATGTGGGCAGGCTGGCCTCATACATGGGCCCAGTCAGGGAGCTGCCCTGATGTGGGGATTGTTGTTGTCTGCAGTTGAGTCAATTCTGACTCAGTGACTCCATGTGACAGAGTAGAACTACTCTACGGGACGTGCTAGGCTGTAGTCTTCACGCGAGTGCAGGGCCAGGTCCTTCTGCCACGGAGCTGCGTGTGGGTTCCAGCTGCCAACCCTTTGGTTAACAGCCGAGTGCATTACCTTTGTGATGTGTGTGTTCTGCTGGTTTGTTGTGAGAACAAGCTTCTGTTCATTTATGGTTAACAAAAGCTTTATCACGTGTGGTTAGGAACATGGTACATAGTGGGGTTTTTGATAATAATTTCTGAGTCTTCCTATTAGCTGTTGGTGAAACTCTCACCTGAAAGAGATAATGTTTGTAGTGGTCCAAGCTGGGTATGTCTCAGCCACACTGTTGCTCCCACGTACCCTTCCGTGGCCCTGGTCGTAGGAGTCACTTCAGATGCAGGGCCTGCCTTGGTGTATTCCCCAGGAGGCAGGGCTTTGTCAGCTGTAGGTGCTTCCTCTCCCGCCCTGCAGGCTCTCTCTGGGGGTTCTCGTGTGTCCAGCATTGTAGCCCTGCCACAGGGGTTTTAGTTTTCTAGTGGCCCTTGTCAGACCTAGTTGGAGATGCAGACAGATACCTTTCCATACCTTCCTGCATCTCCATCTTCTGGGATCGTGGACCAGACCATGCAGCCTTTGGAAATGCCTTCAGCGGGTCTGCTGGAGTGAACTGCGTCGAGACTGATCTCTGTCACCTTTATTCTTGAACGATGGGTAACTCGAGGTCGCGTGTTTTGTTTTCGAAGGTTTGATTTTCCTCTGTAGTTGAGTGCTGGGAGACAGCGACCTTTCTACCATCTTGTCTGTGCTTTTGGTGCTCGGTGCTTTCCCCCGTGTGGCTCTAAGAATGGGCTTTTGATAAGCACATTGCCTGGGATATTTTTTTCTTGAATCTGGTGATGCATCGTTTTCACTAGTTTCAGAAAATTCTCAGCCATTATCTCTTTGAGTGTCACCTTTGTCCTGTTGTCCCTTTCTACTCCAGAGCTCCAGGCAGGTGTTTGTTAGCTCTCTGTCAGTCACATGAGGCACCTAGTCACATCCTCTCGTGCGTATGTTGCCTTTGGTTTTCCGGGCACTTTCTTCAGATCTGTTTGCTTTCTTTCTTTTTTGGAGAAGTCCTGTTTTCCCTCCAGTTTGCCTGGTCTTTTTTGGTAGTATATTGTTCTTCACCAGGGACCAATTATCCAACAAGCCACTTCACTACAGATTAGTAAGTAAGCACAAGTAAGCCCATGCTTACCTTGCTTCCTGGGTTCTGCATCCCTGTCAGGGATTGTAAATTTGAACAGAAAGAGAAACAGATGTCAGCCATACCTAGTAGCCGAATCTTTGATGTGGAGAAAAAATACCCATTTCAGATTAGTAAGTGAGCACAAGTAAGCCTGTGCTTGCCTGGCTTATTGGGCAATCTGACACTGCTCTTCACTCCTGTTTCCTGTCCCCTCTTTTGCTTCTTGCAGTGTTTTCAGCATCCTGTCCTGTATCTGATCATTACCTGATTACCTAGTGATCCTGTTGCTGTTCTTGCTTGTGTCTTTGTTTCTCAGTTTCTGCCTCTCTGTGTAGCACCTGTGCACCCTTGCTTGAGTGAGAGAATTTGGTCGTGTTTCTTCCAGGCACCCCAGGGTGTTACTTACCTTGGACACCATATGTTAATTTCTAGACTTAAGGGGCCACCTGTGATTATAAATTCTCAGAGGGATAGGGTTTTTCTCATCCTCTCTGTGGGTGGAGAGATGGTCTTCACCTAGTCCAGAGGTCAGCACATTATGGCTGGTGGACCATATTCGGCCCATTGCCTGGTTTTGTAAATAAAGTTTTATTGGAACATATTCATTTGTATATTGTTTATGACTGCTTTCTTGCTACAATGTGACAGAGATTTATGATCATCAAAACTGAAATTATTTGCTCTCTGACCCATTAGAGAACAAGGTTACCTGTTCCTATCCTCATCTGTCCTCTCATTGAGAGTCTCAGTTTAACTCTCACTTTCTGAGGTTCTAAGCCCTTGTCTATCATTGCTCAGTAGTTACAGGTCAAACCTCTTGTTATTTCAACTCCCGCTTAGCATTTTGGCTGTCAGCTTCCTTTTTGGGAGTAGACAGTTTATTAAAAATAATCTTTTCTGGAGATAGCAATCAGAGTCTGCATATTTTGCAATTAAACACAAGGAGGAACTGTTGTAGACTGTGGGTTGCTTGAGTTCGGGTGCCACCCTGCCCTGTGCCTTGGGCTCCTAGTCTAGTGCCGGGCATGCAGTAGCTACCTGAGTGTTCCTCCCACAGAATGGTCGCTCACTGCTAATTCAGTACTATTGTGATAACAGCTGTTCAAGTGCCCCATTTCCCCTGACCCTTCTGCCCCAGGCAGGCCTCTCATTGAGGACTGACCTGCCGCCTGTGGCTTGGCCTCCTGGCCTGTGTGAGGCCACTTGCCTCTTGTCTGTAGGCCTGAGAAGGTGGGACCACCCTACCCTGGCCTGCCCTGCCCAGGAGCCAGAGCCTATCTTGGTGTGGGCAAGAATGAGGACTACAGGCATAGGGAGCAGGAAGCAGGACTTTTCTTCCCAGCAGGCCCTTCCTGGGCTGGATGTGTGAGGGTGGTGGTCTGCCTGGTGCTCCTGGTCCTGCACTCTGGGCATTCACGATTCCTCATGTGTGGTGAGAAGGAGAACGCTGTTGACACTTCAAATACAGTTCTTGGATTTAAAAATTGACTTGGCAGATTGGCTGTGCGGCATGGGTGCTTGCGGTCTCTGCATTATTATACCTTAAGGTCTGTTGAACTTTTAAACCTCTCCTGGCTTAAGTCACAGATAAATGTATCTATGTTATCTGTATGGTTCACAATGAGATTTTGTAAATTAGGCAGTTCTTTTTTTTTTTTAATTGGGCAGTTCTTATAGTTCACTTTTTAAAAAAAAAACAAAGATTTTCCTAAACCACAAGGCCCGTTTAGGGCTGCTCTGTGTTTTTGCAGTGCCTTGGGCTTAGTCCCTAATGACGTCACACTTAATATAATTGCTATTGCCTTTCCTTTCTTCTATCATCTGTAAACTCACTCAGGACAGAATCCAATTGTCCTAGTCTTCGTGTCCCCAGTTCCTGGCTTATTCTTTGGCACGTGCTGTTTTATGCTGGCAAGTTGACCCCATGTGACAGAGCAGAACTATCCCAGAGGATTTCCTAGGCTGTACTCTTTAAGGGAGCAAGTGGCCAGGGCTTTTCCTGAGGAGGAGCTGATGGGTTTGAACAGCTGACCTTCCAGTTAGCAGCTGAGCACTTAACCACTGGGTACATATCAGGCACTCAGTAATACTTGTTGGATTGAGTTGAATATGGCATTTTCATTTTATGTACAACTTGCCCAGTAGTAAGTATGTTGTGAGTTGGTTCTGTGTTTCTATTCTCCTTTCATTGCTAACATTTATGTCTTCAGCTATTGAGAAAGGAAGTCAAGATGTGCCCGAGAGTGTACCTCACTTTCTTCCTAAAACAGGCACACAGACATACACATGTGCATGCATACGTGCAGACCACAAAATGAACCCCAGACCTCACAAGTTAAACAGGGAAAATCTGACGGCCACTCTGCACTGTGTCGGTTGTCTGATCCTAAGTCTGTGTTTAATTTCTGGGGATGTGTTATTAGGGTCAGATGAGGTCTGTGTTTCAGCTCATGTGGAGAGCTCCATCAGCTTCTGGTTTATCATCAACAACCTAGGGCCACTTGGCTTCAGGGCAGGATATAAATCAGTAAAGACAAATCATTCATCTGTTTTCTCATAGCCTAGATTATCACATCTTTGATTTGATAGAAAGTGTTCATGGACACCTGTGTGTCAGTAGCGTTATGGGTCCTGAGGATGTAGCCAAGAAGCCAAACAGAGCCCCTGTCCTCAAGGAGCTTATATTTTACTGTGTGTGTGCTAAGGGAGTGTAGGCAGTATAGAAAAATCAATATGTCAGGTATTGATAAGCGCTAAGAAGAACAAGTGCTTGCCCAGGGAATAGAGAGTGCAGGTGTGTGTGTGATGTGATAGAGGGCTCAGGTGACATTTGAGCAGTGACCTGCATGGAGTGAGAAGCAGTCCTGCAGGGAGGATTAGGGAGGGCTCCAGGTGGGGCAGGAGTAGCGTCAGTGCAGGAAAGGTAGGAGCTGGGGTGAGACAGGCCATGAGGGTAAGCCAGGCAGGGCCACGTAGGTGGGGACATGGATCTCACTCTGTGTGAGATGGGAAGCTGCTGGAGCTCTCTGTGCCCAAGTGTGATGGAGATCAGCTGACTTAGGTTTTAATTGGGTTGCCCTGCTGCCATGTTTAGAAGGGTCTGTAAGGTGCAGTGACAAGGGAGACCCATTGGGAGACCTCTGTGATTATCTAGGAGAGCGGTGATGGTGTCTGGTCCAGGGTGTAGGCAGTTATGCTGATGATGCTTTGTTTCATCATTTTCCTAGTTTTTATTTTGATTCCTTAACAGAAACCAGATTAAGTGTAGCTCCTGAAATGAATATCATGGACTACTGCAAAAAAGAATGGAGGGGAAATACCCAAAAAGCAACGTGCATGAAAAAGGTATGACAAATACGTACACAGATCACAGATCTTTCAAATAGTCTATTGTTAGTTATTATTTAAGATGTCCTTTTATATGTTGCGAAGTTAACTATGATAACTGGTATTAGGCTATATAATATTGGTGTTCTAGTTTTAGACGTGAGGAAACAGACCTCAAAAATAAGGGGCTTGTTTAGAGTCACGGTATAAGTAGTCTCTGAATTACTGTGGGGTTCCATTCCAGTGACTCCGTCTTAAGTCGGTTCTGACATAAGTCAAATATATCAACTCCTCACTTATTAACTAACTATCTTGTTATCTGACGTTTTACATTTACGACAACTATTTACTCTCCAGCTGTTTTGTGCATCAGTGACATACATCTGGTAGTAAAGAATGCCAAGGTGTGAGGCGAGAGTAGTACTGGCTGTGATGGCTAAGGTTATGGGTCAACTTGGCTGGGCCATGATTCTCAGTGGTTTGGCAGTTATGTAATGATGTGATTTGGCACCTATGTAATGATGCAGTTATCTTCAATTTTGGGATCTGATGAGGTCATCCGTTTTCACATAATGCCAATTTTTGCATAATGGCCTAGTCTTACCTAACCGCCTAACCATGTTGATAGCTGGAGTGGGTGTACTTTTTTTAAGTTTTCATTTATTATTGCCTTTTATTACAAATATTTTTATAAATGCAATCTTTGAACATCTATGAATGAACATCTGAGAATAACATCAGCAAATTACATGCTGCAGTATTGTATGTTGTACATATTGCTGACGACAAGATGTAGAAAAAACACCCCAGCAGGCAGTCATGAGTACAGCTCATTGTATTGCAAATACCCTGTTGTAAGTCAGGGACTGCCTGCATTAATGGAGAATCGGCGTCCTTTCTTTGTAAATTTCTTTGTAAAACACAAGAATGATTCTGCAGTTCAGCGTTGGGCCAGCTGTTGCTCGTCCTCTTGGGATTGTTGCGGAACGTCCTCCTGGACCTGTTGTCAGAACCTCAGGGTTGGGCACTAGAGCTGTTCCTGGGACTGGCTGAGAACACTCCCCCACTGCCCCTTGGATTTGTTTTCTTTCCAGTCCTAGGGGCCTAGTCCCTTCCGGACCCTGTATGAGAACATCTGGAAGCTGCCACCTTAGGGAGCTGCCTTCCTGGTCCTACTGCATAGATCAGGACCCTGAGCTCATCTTGGAGGCTATGGGACAACATCAGGGCTTCCCACAATGTGGTGCTACTGTGATAGGGCTGGTTCCGCTCAAAGAAACCAGTGTTTGCTGCTCAGGTCAAACACCCTGACCCCTCTTAACACTGCACAGCCAAGCCAGCAGTGCTACCTCAGCCCTCTTGGTTCTACCTGCAAAATGTGGGCTGAATCCAGCATTACTAATTATTAGGTTGAACTATGTGAAATTGCTACTATTTGACTATCTTTCAACCTAGTGCTTCCCCCACCTCTTATAAATGATGGGTTATATATCCTGTTTACTTTTTTATTGGCAGTATTTAAATTATGAACTTTTATGTACTTACATGAAAAAAATGGCAGGATCCAGGTAAGGGGCGGGAGACAGGCAGGACCCAGCCCCCCCCAGAGCCAGGAAAGGGAGGTGGAGAGTGCCGGGGACCACAAAGCGGCAGGATCCAGGTAGGAATTAGGTAAGGGGAGGGCGCAGAGCTTTCCAACACTAAGGGAGACAAATTTGTCTGTCAGTTTGTCATCCTGTGGGGCTTGCACATTGCTGTGAGGCTTGAGGCTATGCCACCAGTGTTTCAGATGCCTGCAGGGTTGCACATGGTGCACACATTTCAACGCAGCTTGACTGAGACAGACTAGGAGGAAGGAAGAGGCCATCCACTTCCCAGGAAATTGGCCAGGACAAACCTTATGAATAGCAGAGAAACACTGTCTGATACATTACTGGGCAACTTTATGAATAGCTTGGAAACCTTGCCCCACACAGTGTAGGAAGACAGCCCCTTAGGTCAGAAGGTACTCAAAATAGGACTGGGAAAGAGCTGCCTCATCAGAGTAGAACCAACCTTAATGATATGGATAAAGTAAGTCTTTCAGGACCTCCACATGCTGACATAGCGTGACTCAAGTTGAGAAGAAACAACTGCAAGCATCCATTGATTATCAGAACATGGAATGTACAAAGCATGAAACTAGGAAAATTGGAAGTTGTCAAAAATGAAATGGAACGCATAAAGATTGATATCCTAGGCATTAGCTGAAATGGACCGGTTTTGGCCATTTTGAATCAGACAACCATATGATCTGTGCAGCAATAATTTGAAGAGGAATGGCGTGGCATTCATCATCACAAAGGATGTTTCAAGATCTGTCCTGAAGTGCAGTGCTGTCAGTGATAGGATAATATCCATACACCTACAAGGAAGACCCACTAATACTACGATTATTCAAATTTATGCACCAGCCACTAAAGCCAAAGATGAGGAAATTGGAGATTTTTACCAACTTCTGCAGTCTGAAATTGACTGAACATGCAATCAAGATGTGTTAATTATCACTGATGACTGAAATGTAAAAGTTGGAAACAAAGAAGAGTCACCAGTAGTTGGAAAATTTGGCCTTGGTGACAGAAATGATGCTGGAGATCGCATGATAGAATTTTGCAAGACCAACAACTTACTCATTGCAAATACCTTTTTTCAACAACACAAATGGTGGCTGTACATGTGGACTTCACCAGATGGAGTACATAGGAATCAGATTGACTCCATCTGTGGCGAGAGGAGATGGAAAAGCTCAATATCTTCAGCCAAAACAAGGCCAGGAACTGATTGTGGAACAGACTATTAGCTGCTCAAATGCAAGTTCAACTTGAAGCTGAAGACAATTTAAACAAGTCCACGAGAGCCAAAATATGCCCTTGGATATGAGACTATCTAAAGAATAGATTTGATGCATTGAACTCTAGTGACCAAAAACCAGAAGAATTGTGGGATGACATCAAGAACATCATCCATGAAGAAAGCAAGAGGTCATTAAAAATACAAGAAAGAAAGAAAAGACCAAACTGATGTCAGAAGAGACTCTGAAACTTGCCCTTGAGCGAAGAGTAGCTAAAGCAAATGGAAGAACTGACAAGACAAAAGAGCTGAACAGAAGATTTCAAAGAGCAGCTCAAGCAGACAAAGCCAGTTACTATAATGAAATGTGCAAAGAGTTGGAGTTAGAAAACCAAAAGGGAAGAACATGCTTGGCATTTCTCAAGCTGAAAGAACTGAGGAAAAAAGTTAAGCCTCAAGTTGCAATATTGAAAGATTCTATGGGCAAAATACTGAATAATGCAGGAAGCGTCAAAAGAAGATGGAAGGAATACACAGAATCACTGTACCAAAAAGAACTGGTTGATTTCCATCCCTTTCAGGAGGTGGCCTATGATCAAGAACCAGTGGTATTGAAGGAAGAAGTCAAAGCTTCACTGAAGCAGTTGCTGAAGAACAAGGCTCCAGGGATTGACAGAATACCCATTGAGATGTTTCAACAAATGGATCCCCCTCTGGAGGCATTCACTCAGCTATGCTCAGAGATTTGGAAGACAGCTACCTGGCCAACTGACTGGAAGAGATCCATATTTGTACTCGTTCCAAAGAAAGGTGATCCCACAGAATACGGAAATTATCGAACAATATCATTAATATTGCACATAAGTAAAATCTTACTGAAGATAATTTAAAAATGGTTGCAGCAGTATAATGACAGAGAACTTCCAGAAATGCAAGCTGGATCCAGAAGAGGACGTGGCACAAGGGATATCATTGCTGGTGTCAGATGGATCTCAGCTCAAAGCAAAGAATACCAGAAAGATGTTGACTTGTGTTTTATTGATTATGGCAAAGCATTTGATTGTATGGATCATAACAGATTGTGGATAATATTGAAAAGAGTGGGAATTCCAGAACACTTAATTATACTCACGAGGAACTTGTACATAGACCAGGAGGCTGTCATTCGAACAGAACAAGGTAACACTGCATGGTTTAAAATCAAGAAGGGAATGAGTCAGGGTTGTATCCTTTCACCATTCTTATTAAATCTGTATGCTGAGCAAGTAATCCGAGAAGCTGGACTATATGAAAAAGAACGTGGCGTCAGGATTGGAGGAAGAATCATTAACAATCTGCAATAGTCTGACGACACAACTTTGTTTGCTGAAAGTGAGGATGACCAGAAGCACTTACTGATTGAAGAATACAGTCTGCAGTATGGATTACATCTCAATATAAAGAAAACAAAAATCCTCACAACTGGACCTATAATATGCAGCATCAAATGGAGAAAATAAGTGGAGAATAAGTATTCTCCAAATAAATGGAGAAAAGATTGAAGTTGTCAAAGACTTCACATTGCTTGGTTCTGCAGTCGATGCCAATGGAAGCAGCAGTCAGGACATCAGACGATGTATAGCCCTGGGCAAATCAGCTTCAAAGGGCCTCTTCTAAATGCTGAAGAACAACGATGTTTTCTTGAGGACTAAGGTGCACCTGATACAAGCCATGGTATTTTCAATTGCGTCATATGCATGTGAGAGCTGGACAATGAATAAGGAGGACCAAAGAAGAATTGATGCTTTTGAGCTGTGGTGTTGGCGAAGAATGCTAAAGTACCATGGACTGCCAAAAGAACTAACAGGTCTGTCCTTGAGGAAGTGCGGCTGGAATGCTCCTTGGAAGTGAGAATGGCCAGACTTCATCTCATATATTTTGATCATGTTGTCAGAAGGGACCATTCCCTGGGGAAGGATGTCATGTTTGGTAAGGTGGAGGAGGATCGATGAAAGAGGGGAAGGGACCCAACGAGATGGATTGACACAGTGGTGGAGGCAATGGGGTCAAGTATAGCAAGGATTGTAGAACTGGTGTGGGACCGGGTGGTGTTTCGTTCTGCTGTGCGTAGGGTTGCTATGAGTTGGAGACGACTCGATGGCACCTAACAGCAACAACAACAATGTACTTCATGTTGCAGATATTGACTTGCCATTTTGAGCGAAATATTTTTTAACTTTTTTTTCCTGTTTTTTAATGCTTTAACATTTTCTGTTTGTTAATGTTTGAATCCATTGATTCTTTTCCACAGAGCTTGTTTTTGTAGAAAAGATTACATCTTTTAGCAGGCAGCTCAGCTACCCCTGCCTGCGTGAACCTAAAGGCAAGCTGCCACTTTAAACTCCGTTAGCTCAGCTTCCTGCAGGTGTGGTGTGTAGACTCTGCATGCCAGGTACTTGTTAGGGACTCAGCTGTGCAAACCTGAGGCCCTCCATCCCTGCCAGAGGTTAAGAGCATTTTATCTTTGTATGGCCATCTGCTGGACATAGTGAACGGCCACTGTTTTAGATGGTCCTGCTTCCTGCCCTGCGTCAGTTTCAATAACCAGGAAGCCAAATACTCAAACCATATTTTCTCAGCTTCCCCAGAACGCTTTCGGGGACTTGTGGTTCTGCTTTATGACCTTCGAAGCTCACTGTTAACTATTGATGTCTTGGAGGTTATAATCAAGATGTCTACTAAGTCTGCCAAGTACTCCATATTCAGGAATTTGGGCTAAAATCACTCCCTTATGGGTCTCTCTCCAGGAAGAGCTTTGACCCTGCAGTGGACTCTTTCTGTGACCAAATGTTCCCTTGGTGCTGTTAGCACAGGACCACATCCAGGCCTACCACAAGGACTGGTGCATGGTAACAGCTTAGAACTCGTTACATGTGTCCTGATTTGTCCGTGTGTATCCTTTAGTTTGGATGTTCTTTTGGAAGTAAGCATGTGTAAATCCAAATTTAACGTATGAAGTTTGTTTCACTCTGACATGAGTAATGTGTGCACTTGGAAAGGCACCGAGCCCGTTGAACGAGCCATCATGAATGCTCCCAGGGGGTGTATGGTCCACCATGAGGAGGAGGTGCATCTGGTGGGGTGATGGGCCTTTACCTGCTGCAGTGGTTGGATAACTAAATAAAACTGCTGCCCTCAAAATGTAATTGGAAAGAAATGCCCACAGTTTGGCTTCAATTTTGGTGTTTGCATCCCGTGGGCAGTGTATTTTATGATTCAAGAATCTACCTGGGGTTTAAAAAATATGTTTCTTATTTAATCCAGGAAATAAGTGGAGTCCTCCCTGTCACATCAGAGCATCATTCTGTGCTTTGAGGCTGAGCCAGTCCGACTGGAGAAGCCAGGCATCCTGGATGCCTGTGCCCTGGCCACTGGGGTTTCCTGGGTCCCGTTGGATGGCTGTCTTTGGGTGACTCTGTCAACTGAATGTTTTCATTTCCTCTTTTCACTTCTAGACTGAGCAAGAAGGACATTTCAGTCTGCTTTTTTTTTTAAGTTTAACAGAATGATCCAGTCATTTCCTAGCATGTACACTTCCTTTATACACCATACAAATGAGATTTGGTGTATTATTTTTTGATACGGAGATAGACATTTAGCACATTTTTCCTCAGTCTGTCTTGTCTTTTCACCAAAGGGTCAGCGTGAACAGAGAGCTCTTCAGAATATTGATGTCAGTAAGTGAGCATTCCAGCAGTTGCTTAGGGATGTGTGACTCCAGCTTTGGGGGTGGCAGAGTTGTTTCATAATACTTTGAATGTTTTCTCTGTTTACCTGTTGGGTATGCTGCATATGCAGGTCTTTCTCATAGTACTTTACTCATTAATTTCTTTTGATTAATAACAGAAGAGGCTGGAGTGTCTCCCAGGAAGGATTTGGCCAGTGCTATTGGTCTCATTCTTCCACAGTTGGAGGCAGGTTTTCCCCACAGGAATCAAACTTTCCTGCTCTCTGAAGTCAGTAATGACCCACTGTGGATTCTTTGATACTTTCACCCAGGGCTACGAGGAAGTTTCTCAGAAATTCACCTCCATAAGGCGCGTCCGTGGCGATAATTACTGTGCACTGAGGGCTACGCTGTTCCAGGCAATGAGCCAGCCGGCGGAGCTGCCCCCCTGGCTGCAGGACCCGGAGCTCACGCTGGTACGCTGCCACTGCAGGTTTGAGGCCACAGTGGGCCACGTCACTGTGTGCCAGGAGACTTCTCCTTTCTGTCCATGCTGCTTGCTCGTGCTGCCCGTGAGTGATGTCAGCTTGTGGCAGTCCCCAGTCTCGTGGGGATGATTTCACAGTAAAATGACCAAGGATAATGGGTATTTCCCAGAGAAGGAAAATGGCAGAACTGACTCAGGCAGTTCCACCAAATTAGAGAGCAGATGTTAGAGTTTGTAAAAAGCACTTTGGAACAGTTTGGCTTCAATTTTGGTGTTTGCATCCTGTGGGCAATGTATTTTATGATTTAAGAATCTACCCAGGGTTTAAAAAACACATTTCTTATTAATCCAGGAAATAAGTGGAGTCCTCTGCGCAGTGCTTTGGGGGCTGGCTTTGTGGGCGACTGAGCAGCCCCCCTGGAAGAGAGACAGCCCCATCACCTTGGAGAGGCTTCCTGGGGAGGAGAAGGTCAGGGGCCGGGTCCCAGACTGGCCCTCAGTAGCACTTTAAGTCTACAGCTTGACGGTGACTGAGATGCCGTGTATCAGTGTGTCCACGACACAGACCAGACAAGGTCACGTAATAATAAGTTGAATGATAGAATATCCTAGGGATTCTGGTGGGTAGCAGTGGTTGTGCATAACTGACAGTATGACGTTAACTGGAGGAAAATCTATAGTCTGTACTTAAAGAAAAAAAACAAACAAGCACAGGTCATTTAGCTGGGAGAGATCTGCCTTAACAGCAGTTGATGGAGGGAAAAAAGACCTCAGGGCTTTGCCGAGCGCAAGCCCCGCCTGAGCCCGCAGGGAATGTGGTGGTTCCCAGTGATGCTGGCTGCACCAGAAGGGGCGCTGTTGGAAGCGGGCCAGAGCAGTCCCAGCATGAATGGAACTGGCTAGAGCCCGTCTTGGACGGAGCGCAGCTGTCTGCCCTGTGTCTTTACCAGCAGATGGGTTCATTTCATCCTGGGAGTAAAAGAGCAGGGGGTGCTTGCCTGGGAAAAATATGACTTCTAGAGGAAACTGGTTGCTGGATAAGATGTTTGAGGTCTGTTAGGTAGATGAGGCGGTCCCATGGCTCCAGAGGGCAAAACCAGGGCCAGTGGGTAGAGGGTATCATCCTTCTGTCTTTGTCTGTGATTATCCATTTCATAAACTTGTGTAAGATCAACACACCTGCATAAATGGTCCAAACCTTATCTGTGAAAAATACTTTCCTCTAAGCAGGGATGGGTGCCATCGCAAGCAGATTTCTTAGCTTATTTTTTTATACATATAAAAGTCGAAGAAATTGATGAGCTAGGCAGTTTTTTCCGGGGTGTGTTTTAGAATCATCGGTCACTTCACAGAAGGATCCCTGTGCACATAGGGCAGTGCCGGGAAGCCAGCGCCTAGGGGGGGCACCTCTGTTTGGTTTTAACAACCATCACTTAATCTGTAGACTGTGACGTGAAATCCTCCTCAATGTTAGGCTGAGCTTTTTCCTTCTGAGCCTTTGATTTTAAGGAGCTTGTTTACATCTGTGGGCTTAGCTGACATCATGAATTTGGATTTTTAGACTTTCCCAAAAACTCTGTTGCCAGCGTTGTTCTAAGTAATTAAACATATAAAACCCATAAAAGTAAAGCACATGCTTCTTTGATTTCACTGACAGGATTCATTTGCGTGAGATCGTCTGTGTTACTGATAGTAGCCTAGACAGGTTGTGTAGTTTGATTGCTGTTTGACTGTGCTGAGTGCACGAGCGATGGGGCTTTGAAGTGGGGTATCTGACTAACTGAGTGAATGAAAATATTTTTAGTTTTCCAGGCATTCTTTCCAATTCTTCCCTTTTCTCTGTGTATCAGGCAACAAATATTTTCTCTTGGGAGCACAGTCTATAATTAGTTGGTCACAGTGGTATTATTTTTGTTATCTAATCTTTATTGAAGGCCAAGAGGCTCAGGAAAACACATCATACTTGCCTGTGAGTTTTGTATTTAAGTTTATGAAACTTTGGTTCTGTTATATGTTAACCAAAGGAGCTGTGGTGGTGGTGTGGCTAAGATATTTGGCCGCTAGCCAGAAGGTCAGGAAGATGGGGCGATTGACTTGCGTGAAGATTTCCAGCCTTGGAAATCCAATGAGGGTAGCTGTGAGTTAGAATCAGTATGATGGCAATGTGTGATATGTTAATTGAAGAAGTGACTTTGTTCTTTCATTGCTTTCATTCAGTCAAAAGACTTGTAGCCATCTTGATTTTTCTAGCCCTCATAATTTGCAATTAACAACTCATTAGGGAAAGACTCATTAACAACCTGTGATGTGCAGATGAGAAAACCTTGCTTGCTGAGAGAGGACTTGAAGCACTTACTGATGAAGCTCAAAGACCACAGCCTTCAGTATGGATTACATCTCAAGTTTATGAAAACAAAAATCCTCATAAATGGACCAATAAGCAACATTACGAGGAATGGAAAAAAGCTTGAAGTGCCAAGGATTTCATTTTACTTAGATCTACAATCAGTGCTTGTGGAAGCACCAGTCAAGAAATCAATGTGTTGCATTGGGAAAATCTTCTGCAAAAGACATCTTTAAAGTGTTAAAAAGCAAAGATGTCGCTTTGAGGACTAAGGTGTGTGACCCTAGCCGTGGTATTTTCATTCACCTCATGTGCATGTGACAGCTGGACAATAAATAAGACCTTCCCCAATAGCAGCACCGTTTGCCCACCTTCCGTGCACAGGTGTTTTGTTGCATCACTCAGCACCTTGTTCAGGTGACAGATTCACCAGGCACTTGACACTCGGTGCCAGTGCAGGAAGGCGCATGCAGACTTCGTCCAGTTGTGCTTAACCAATTGTTCCCGCCTCCTCCCTGTTGCAGGCCGTCCTGTGATGCCCTTCTGTCCTGTTCTCATTCTGGCCCCTCCACCCAGTCTTCCTTTGCAGAGTCCACAATGAGAAGGGCCTTGTTGAGTGAGGGTGTGCATGGTGGGGTGTGGCTGAAAGGTAGGGCTGGAGCCAAGGATGGTAGAAGGGGTGGAGGGGCGTGAAGTCTTCAGAGCTGGATGGTGGGTGTGGTACCCAGTCCATTGCACCCCAAAAGTAGGGAAACGCTGTCTCCAGAGACCATTTACACATATATGTGCTTAAGATGAGCAGTTACGTGAATTATGAAACAGTTTTATTGCCTCAGAAATGAAAGTCTTACAGGAGTTTTGGTATGAAAGGTGGTGTGCCCTTCTTTTCCCCATCTTCCTAGTGGATAGGAGTCATTCGCATCCTGTCAGAGTAAGGGCATTCCTGCTTGCTGATACTAAGCAACCAAATGCACTGCCGTCGAGTCTGACTCATAGCGACTCCTCCTTGGTTTTCTGAGGCGATATCCCTATGGAAGTAGATTACCCAGCCTTCCTTCCAAGGACTTGCTGATGGGTTTGAACTGCCAGCCTTCTGGTTAGCAGTCAAATACCTTAGGCACTATGCCACCAGAAATTACTTAAAAACAAACACTTGGACCGGACTCAAAGTAAATCCCAACCAAACCTGTTGCCTTCAACTGCAACTTTCAAGATGGATTACAGCTCAACATAAAGAAAACAAAAATCCCCACGGCTGGACCAGTAAGCTACATCTTGATAAATGGAGAAAAGATTGAAGTTGTCAAAGATTTCATTTTACTTGAACCCACAATCAATGCCCATAGAAGCAGCAATCAAGACATCAAATGATGTACTGCATTGGGCAAATCTGCTGCAAAAGACCTCTTTAAAGTGTTAAAGAACAAAGATGTCACTTTGATTACTGAGGCACACCTAATCCAAGCCATGATATTTTCAGTCACCTCATATGCATGAGAGAGCTGGACAGTGCATAAGGAAGACTGAAGACTTCAAGATGCTTTTGAAGTGTGGTGCATGGACTGCCAGGACAATGAGCAGATCTGTCCTGGAGGAATTCCAAGCGGAGTGCTCCGTAGCAGTGAGGATGGTGACACTTTGTCTCTAGTATTGTGGGCATGTTATCAGGAGGGACCAGTCCCTGGAGAAGGATATCATGCTTGGTAAACTAGAGGGTCAGCGAAAAAGAAGATGACCCTCAAGAGATGGACTGACACAGTAGCTGGAGCAGTGAGCTCAAATGTAGAAGGATCGTGAAGATGGCCCAGGACCGGGCAGTGTTTCGTTCGGTTGGACATAGGGTCACGGAGGGTCAGGACCGACTGGAAGGCGCCTGATTACGACGACAAAGCTGTGTGCCGTCGAGTTGCTCTGACTCCTGCTGAGCTGTGGTGTTACAGACCTGAACTGCTCCACAGGGTTTTCTCGTCTGGGATCTTTACAGAAGTGGACTGCCAGGCTTGTCTTCTGTGGTGCTGCTGGGTAGGTTTGAACTGCCAGCCTGTGTCATTCGACCTTCTTCCTTGCTCTGACTGAAATGCTGACAGCCTCCTTTGCCACTGCACTATGTCCAGTGACAGTCATTTGTCCTGATCATGGCACAAACACCTCTGTCCTCTGTGTATGTGGTCTCGAGAGGTCCCGGGAGCCCTGGCTACTTCTGGAAGCCCAGCAGGGCGCTGTCAGGAGGCAGGCTGGAGGGACTCGAGTTTCTGCATCACTAACTGGGGTCTCGATCAGTGCTGGCTCACCTGTCACCACCTTCCCTCAGCTCTGGGGGCGGACGGGGCCTGGGCACCCAAGTCACTTCGGCAGTCTGGCTCTGGAACCATTCTCAGCCCATGGCCTGCAGGCTGTGCACTGCTAACGTCCCTGCCCTCTGGTGCATTTCATCAGGTGCTGGGTGGGTCCAGGGAGATCGTATTTGTTGCTGAGGCATGTAGACCCTTTCCCCCGCTGTATCTGCTCCCTTTGCAGGCTGAGAATGTCTTCTGTGGGTCTGGCCATCTCTGCCCTGACAGAATGTCAGTGGTGTCAGGCCATTATTGGGCAACAGGAGAGCTAGCCAGGGAGCCCTTCCCCTTTGTGTGGGCTCAGGGAGAGACCCCAGGCGTTCCTCTCTGCTGCCCAGCTTCTTGCCTTGCTCTGCTTCCCACCTGTGATGTGGAGCTTCGTCTTATCTGCTCCACCTCTCTCGCCTTCCTTTTCAGCTTCCGGTGTCATTTCTGCTTCTGTCCAGATCCAAGTCTCTGCTCTGACTCCTACCTTGGAGATGCTTGGGCTGCTAGTCTTAAACTTGCTCCTCAGTCCCTGAGAGGGGGTGACCTTTAGAGCAAGAGTCCTTGGCTTCTGCAAAAACGGCAAGGAGGTGACATGTTCTGACCTCCTATAACCCCACAAGAGGAAGACAGGATTATCAGCAGTAACCCAAGGCCTATTCCTGCCAGGCCAGACATGCTACCTCCCTCCAGCCCTTTCTCCAGCAGTTCCTCCCAAAGCACCCACCACCTCTCTACTGGGTTCGATAATTCGCTGCAGTGGCCACACAGAGCTCACAGATTATGGAGTTTATTAGGGAAGCACCACAGGCTACAATTCAGGTTCAGGAAAAATGCTCAGTCTCTCTCTCCCAGCCCACCGTCCTTCAGCCAACAGTCTCTCACAGACTCTTTCCCAGCAGTGCTGGTCCCTCGGTGTCTCACTCAGCAATGCGTGTCTCTTGCGTCTCTTTCCCAGGAATGCATGTCTCAGGAGCCCATGTCTCTTTCAGCAGCACGTCTTCCTCAGCCAGCAGTCAGAGAGAGTTCTGTCTCTAGGAGGCCTCCTTTTGAGCCAGGTGGTCAAACTAGCCAATCATAGCATCAGAACTCTAAGCACCTGAGAGAGAGTGGGCACCTCCCACAACATTGTTTTGTGCCACTCCCAACAGAAATACTCCAGGTGGACACCTTCAGCAATCAGGAGCTCCTCAGTTGCTCATAGCAAATCCCACCTTGGAGTTTACAAAGACTTACGGGTAGAAAAGCCACACAAAGTAATTTACTACACTGCAGGTTCCCAGGTACAGGCTTATCTTGGAGATATGCAGGTTTGGTTCCACACCATCACAGTAAAGTAAATACCGCAGTGAAGTGAGCCACGAATTTTTTGTTTTCCCAATGCATATAAAAGTTTTGTTCCCATTATAATACAGCCTATTAAATGTTTGGTAACATTATGAGAAAGTTTGAAATATTGTGAGAATTACCAACACGTGTGACAGAGACAGGAAGTGAGCATGTGCTGTTGGAGAATGACGCCAGTAGACTTGCTTGACAAAGTGATGCCACAGACTTTCAGTTTGTTAAGAACAAAACCACAGTATCCATGAGGCATACTCAGGGGAGGCGCCATCGATGGAGGTGTGCCTGCATGCCGTGTTTTGGAACGTCTCTGACCGAGTGTGACCTGTGGCGGTGTTCTCTTAGAGTGGAATGGATGGGACTTTGGAGCTCTTTGGTTGAGTTAGCTTTGGGGCTGACACTTTTTGTATTCTTCAACCCTTTTATCATGGTGGTGACTTCAAGGATTATAAACAGAAAAAAAACCAAACTCACTGCCCTTGAGTCGGATCCGACTCATAGTGACCCCTCCTTGGGTTTCTGAGGCAGTATCACTACAGAAGTAGATGGCCCAATCATAATTCTAAAATAAATTATGTTCCATCTAAGTTAATTACTACTTTAATCTTAAATGTTCCCTTTAGAACATTCTGATTTCTGGCACAACTCTTCACAGAAGTCCAGTTCTTTTGTGCGTAGAAAAGATGAGCTCTTTATGTGTTCTGTGTGTCATGACAGAGGGCCCCTGGTGGCATAAGTGTGCTTGGTTACTAACCAGAAGGTTGGCAGTTGAAACCCAACAGCCACTTTGCAGGACAAAGATGATACAGTCTGCTTCCATAAAGATTGACAGCCTTGGAAACCCTTTGGGGCGGTTTGTCCTCTAGGGGCGCTGTGCGTTGGAATCAACTTAATGGCAACAGTAACGTTGCTATGACTTCTGAAGGCATTTAAAGTTAGGCTAAGTTTTTCTCTTCTACATAAGTAATTCCAGCTCCATTATTCTTTCCTAATTGTTTGTGCTTTTCATTCTTCATTTTGGGACTTTCTTCTCAATGTCCACATCTCCTAACATAGACCACTCTGAACTGGATAGTGCCTCCAGCAGTAACATGACCAGTGCCAGGCAGCAGTGAGGACGCTGCCCTCTTGGCTTCCCTGTGTAGTTAGGATCTCAGGGTCTCCAGGGTCAGTCAGCGCATTGTGGTGCCTGCCTTCCCTTCCTGCCCAGGTCTGCGGCCTGACCAGCAGCTGTGCTTTCCCACCCTGATCTTTTCCATCTCTCCTTACACCAAAAAACAAATTCATTGCCATTGAGTTGAGTCCAACTCATAGCGACCCCCATTGGGTTTGCAAGGCAGTGAATCTTTACGGGAGTAGGATGCCCCATCTTCGTTCTGTGGAGCAACTGGTTGGTTTGAACTGCTAACCTTCTGGTTAGCAGTCAGATGTTCAGGCACTGCACTACCAGAGCTCCGCTCCCTTCTTTGTGCCAGCTGTGATTTTAGCTTGCTGCTGCTAGATGGCATGCTAGGTTCTGGTGATGAAACCAAGAACTGAAACCGAAGCTTGTGCAGCAGAACCCCCTACACGCTGCCCAAGTGCAAGGCATTGTGGGCATGGGCTGGGCTGGAGGGTTGGGCTGGGCGGTGGCCCACCCACCTGCGGCTCTGAGGGGTACTGTCAGCTGTCGCCTCCCTCCTAAGGCAAGCAGAACACACATGCCCACACATCCCAGTGTGTGGCGGTAGATTGCCATCACTGGGTAACCCAGAGGCATTCACTTCCTTGCTGAGCTTCCAGCTGTTTGTAGCAACGAAACCACTTCACTTTACCCAGGTGCTCTGGCAGGTGAGGCTTGAATTCCCATTCCTGAAGGGCCTCCCTGGTCTCCCATTGCAGGAAGACTAGCAGCAGTTACAGGAGCTGGTCCCACAGAGAACGCTGTAGGAAGTAGTCTTTAACAACCTGGTGACTTGGACGGGACCTTTGCTTTTCTTTGTAGCTTTTGTGGCAGTGAAGTAAGAGGCTGCTGCCCAGCCTCATTGTGTCATTTTCCTCTTGACACACCCATGCTCCCATGCTGTCATCCATCAGGTTGAGCCTCAGCTTGCCCTTCACACCCCAGATTCTGTGGGTGATAAGGGATAAACAAAGTAAATCCTTCTGTGGAAAAAAGGAAGCATCCTGCTGTTGGCTCTCTAAGCGGCTGGGCTGCCGCAGCTCTCCTGACCCTTGCCTCATTCTCCATTGTGTTTTTTATCCTAGTACAACCTTGAGTGGGAGCTCTGGTAGCTTAGTGCCTAAGGCACTTGACTGCTACCCAGAAGGCTGGCGGTTCAAACCCCCCAGCCACTCCTCAGAAGGAAGGTTGGGCAATCTACTTCTGTAGTGATACTGCCTTGGAAACCCAAGGAGGGGTCACTATGAGTCGGGTCCGACTTGATGGCACATAGTAACAACAACAACAACAACACAACTTTGAGTATATGTGTTAATATGATTTTTTAAAAAGACCTTTTAGTACTTTGTTTTTGAGGTGGATTTTTTCCTTTTTTTTTTTTTAAACCACAAGGGAGGTTTATTCTCCTAGTTAGGAAGGAGCAGGATTTTCTTTTACCCTAGACCTTCTCGTGGGCCCCAGAGCGTTGTCCTGAGTCATCAGTCAGGTGGTGATGGGAGGCTGCCATTGAGCCCGTCACTGGAAGAGGTTAATGTGACAGTACCACACAGGCAGGACTTTTGTTTATCCTTTCAAGTGGCCGTGGGCTGTTTCTGACTGCAGGTGGAGTCCAGCTGGGAGACTGGTGCCTTGCACCTCAGCCAGAACCCCTATTTCAGTCTAGTATCTCCCCTCAGAGTTTGAGTTTCTACTTCCAGACTTAGATGCCTCCTAGTCGCAGAGGACAGACTGAAGTCTGGAGACGGGTGCTTTGCAGGCCCCCCGGGTTTCTCACCTTCTGGGTCTTGTGGTGGAGTCTCAATACCTGGGGATGTTAACACCTCTCTGTCTCTGTTTCATACACTAGTTACCCGAAAGACTCATCCGCACACACACCTGGATCAGGCAGTGGAAACTTGGACTGAACTTGGATGGGAAGAGCGAGGACCTGGTTGATAGGATTAAGGCGTCCCTCACTCTGCTCCAGAAGAAGGTTTGGAACTTGTCATTGTCTGTCTCTGATAAGTGAGCGCTCTTGCTCCTCCTGGCCCCAGCAGCCCAGTTCTTAGTCTCTACTCATCCAGTTACCAGCTCCTGGCTGGTTTCTGGGCCGAGAATTGGTGAACAGACTCTCCCTGTGAGGTCCTTGGTGAAATGGAGAGATGTCAGTGTCGTGTGTTCTTGGTAGAGATGTACGTATTAGGCTGTTAGACAGGAATACGTTGGCCTTCCTACAAAGGAAGCCTGAACAAATGCAGTCTTTGTTCTAAGTCATCTTTATCAGATTCCGGTATATTGTTTAGTCTGTATTTCTTATATAGTCTTATCAAGTGTGGGGGGGAAACAAACTCACTGCCATCGAGTCAATTCTGACTCATAGTGACCCCCTTTGCATTTCCCAAGCGGTAAATCTTTACAGAAGTAGATTGCCCAGTTCTCCTTCCATGGAGGGTTTGAACCACCAGTCTTTTGGTTAACAGTCTAATGCCTTAGGCACTATGCCACTAGAGCTCCTTAAGTGATACTAATTAGTGTTTCTTAATTCTTGTCAGTTAGGTTCATGTTTTGAGATCCTGCCTATGTTTATTAGACTTCTTTTCCTTACGATTTAGTAACTTGTCTTTTAAAAGCTGTCTGGCTGGTGTCTCTGAAACAGACATAGCGGGGGAATTTGGTCTGCCAGTCCCCATTAGTTTGGGTCTGAGAATATTGCCTTTCTGGGGTGTGCCCTGTCTCACTGGCGTGTATGTCCTGCTGCATACTGGCCCTGCTGGCCCCTGGGTTGCTTGCCGTGGAGCAGCTCGTAGCCCTCCCCACCAGGAAGCCGGGTGAAGCCCTGGTGGTCATTCCAGGCTTTGTAAGCAGGGGCCAGACAGGTGAGGAGGTGCCAGCAAAGCATTTCAAGATTCTTTACCACATTTACCCCAGGGTGGCCTGTGTACTTGTTTGTGGTCCCTTTAGACTCTGAGCTCCATGGGAGACTGTCCGTTCCCTGTGTTTGGTGTGTTCCTTCACACCCGGTGCCTGGCACACAGCTGGGATATCATGGAATTCAGCAGGTCTTTTGTTGAGTGAAGAAACAGGCCCCTGCCTTGCTGGACCCTATTTTCAGTTTACAGAGATAACATGTGTTACTGGGAAACACACTGTGACAGGAGGTCTAGTAGTTTCATCTTTCTTCCATTTTGAAGAATGGGAGAGGGAGAAAGGGAAGGGGATTCTGCGCTCAGGGATCCTGCTAGACAGGAGGCCCGCCCCTGCTCAGTGTGTGGATTTGGTTTGGGCTTTGTTTTCTGTAAAGACTGACAGCCTTGGAAACCCTCTGGGGCAGTTCCACTCTGTCCTCTGGGGGCGCTGTGAATCGGAATCGACTCGATGGCAGTGGGGCATATTTCTAAGGACTGACATTTATGTTGGCATCTCTTTTCTCCATTTACTTTAACTTAAAAGCATGTACGCTTGTTGGGTTTTCTTATTTGCTTAAAGAGTTTGCCTATGTTAGCAGAATACCCAGTGCTCTGCTTTATTCTTAATCAAGGATCATTGAGAATTTCCTGGATGGATTTACCCATTTGAAGCTCATGTATGTTTTTAAGAGATTGGAGGGCTCAGTTTAATAAACTGATATTCCGGGGAGCCTGCCATTTCCCTTGCCTACCTGCCCTTTTTGATGATTAGCTTTGTGTTTCAGATGGTAACCGTTCCTGGAAGCCTCTAAAGGGGCAGAGTCATTTGAGCTGCTCTTCACAACTCCACACTGAGGCTCTTCCCTGTGTTTCTCATTGCCTGGCTTAGTCTCATTGCCTGGGGAGTTCAGGGTGTAGGAAATCTTGTTCTCTGGCCCCAGTGCTCCTCTTTCTTGCCTGGTAATTTTGTTTCAATTAATGGGCTAGAAAGGTGAATCAGGAATTGCGTGGGCTGAGAAATACGATTGTTTGAGCTAAGAATTTGAAAATGTGAGCGTTGGTGTGGGGTCTGAGGTTTTCTGCTTTTGAAAAGGGTCTTGTGCTCCCAGTGTGGAAGTATACCAGGGATTTGTAGAGTAACAGTTCTCTTGACTGTGAACCTCTTACTGTAGTGGGCAGACTTGGCTGAAATGAGAAGTGCCGAAGCCAGGCAGACAGCTTGTGATGAACTGTTCACCAGCGAGGAGGAGGAGTACAGCCTCTATGAGGCCCTGAAGTTCCTAATGCTCAAAAGAGCCATTGAACTCTATGATGACAAAGAGAAGGGAAAGGACGTCCCTTTTTTCTCTGTGCTCCTGTTTGCTCGAGACACTTCCAGTGACCCTGCACAGCTGCTGAAGAACCACCTGAACCATGTGGGACACACTGGTGGCCTTGAGCAGGTAAGTGTTCCTGATGGGGTGGACTGCCCCCAAACACAGCAACTTTAACCACCACACCTTTAGTAGGTTGGGGTTTGTGTGGGCCAGGAATTCACAGTATCTTAGCTGGGCTGCTCTGGCCCGGGGTATCTTGAAGTTGCAGTTGGGGGTTGGCCAGGGATGCAGTCATCTGAAGGCTTGATTGGGGCTCACACATGTGGCTGGCAACTGGCCTCCTTCCTCAAGGTTGTAAGCAGGAGGGCTCAAGCCCTCCTCATTGAGCTGCTTGAGCGCCCTAATGACATGGCAACTGGTTTCCCTCAGAGAGTGATCTGAGAGAGAGCTGGAGGCTCTAGCCTTTATGACCTAGGCTTAGAAGTCACACCCTCACTCACACCACAGTCTGTTCATTAGAAGTAGTCTAAGTCCATCTCATACCCCAGGGGAGGGGAAAGAGCTCCACCTTTCCAGATGAGGAATGTGCTTCTGCAGGGTGGTGGATGAAATCAGGACACTTGGCTTTGCTAGACTGCAGATAAATAAGCTCTTGAAATAGTCACTTGAAGGGTTTGGAAGAGTCTTGTTTAATCTTAGGAGCTATAGCTGCATTAAGTAGTGTCTTAATTATCCAGTGCTGCTCTAACAGAAATACTGCAAGTGAGTGGTTTTAACAAGCAGAAATGTATTTTCCCACAGGACGCTAGAAGCTAGAATTCAGGGCCCTGGCTCTAGGGGAAGGTTTTAGCTCTCGGCTCTGTTGGCTCTCGGGGAAGGCCCTTGTCTCTTCTGCTTCTATCCTTGGGCTCCTTGGTGATCTTCATGTGGTGTGGCATCTCTGTTCCCCATCTCTGCTTTTCTGCTGGCTTGTTTAATCTCTTTTATAGCTCAAAAGACATCTACTCTAAACACACCCTACACTAATCCTGTCTCATTAACATATCAAAGACAACCCAGTTTCAAATGGGATTATAAGTATGGATACAGAGGTTAGGATTTATAACACATATTGTTGAGGAACACAATTCAATCCATGACAGGTAATATGCTTTAAAACTAGAAACACTATTACCTTGGCCAGTAGAACCCAGTCTGCTCTTCAATTTTTCACAGATATGCTGAGTCTGGAGAGTTTTACAGAGGCCTAATGCAGTATAAGTCAGCTGCAGGGATCCAGGTGCGGAGAGGGAACTCAGGCACGCCCAAAGCAGCAGTGAGGGAGAGCAGGAAAAAGGGGATTAAAAGCCAGGAACTCAGACAGAGGAGCAGTCAGTTGCAGGGATCCAGGTGAGGAGAGGAACTCAGGCACACCCAACGCAGCAGGGCGGGAGAGCGGGAGAAAGGGGATTAAAAGGACTAGGAATCTGGACAGAAGAGGAGTCAGCTGCAGGGACCCAGGTAAGGGTGGTATGAGAGGTTTCCAGCAGGGAGGCAAACTTGTCTTTCGGTTTGTCCTACCATGGTGATGTGTTGATGTGAGTTTTGAGGCTGAGCCACTAGTGTTTCTAACCCAGTGGGATGCACATGGTGCATAGGTATCAGCCCAGCTTACAGACTGAGACAGACTAGGAAGAAGGAGGAGGCCATCCACTTCTCAAATAATTGGCCAGGGAAAACCTTATGAATAGCAAAGAAACACTGTTTGATACATTACCGCACAACTTTATAAATAGTCCGGTTAGGTTAG